TGCAGTGGTGATCTCTGGTGCACAATAGTGTTTGTGTGAAGCTAACTGACCTCTTGATGTTGAGTTTTGTTGCATTCCCAGTGGATTGGTGCATGCACACATGTGCATTGTGTGTGTGCTTCCATTAAAACCTCCTTAGACCAACTCCTGTCCAGCTAAGCTGCTTATACTGAGCTAGAGAAATTCAGGAGCTGGTTGAGTCTTCCATTCCTTAGCAATTATTAATGAACAAAGATATCTTGCACAGAGTTAATACCGCTGACAGGTAGGATATATGTGTATATAATGCAACATGTTCAACTCCTTGTTAATCACTGCCTCCAGCATCTGGACTGCATTACTCCAGGTGACTCAGCTAGTTGCTACATCAGTTTTATGAGAAAAATGTATTTCTCAGGACTAACACTAAAGTATAAAGCACAGAGCCTGGTAGCTTGTGATCACTGGTCAGCCTTGTTTTTTCCACCCTCGTGCTCCTCTGCACCTGTCTGAGAAAGCCTGCTTGTGTCTTGAGTACATTTTTCCTACCAGTTGACAAAGTGGGCTGTGTTTTTTGCAGCTACTGTAGGACCTGATCTCTTTGCTGCATGCTGGCTTTGTGTAGCCCTGTTATTTTTTCCATCATTACAGTAAACTTTCAATTTGACCCTCTGCTGACATCCTAAAATCTCTGCCCAGATTCTCAGCCAAGCATATTTCTTTGCATCACTCCACCAGTCTAACCACTGTACTCACCCTCTCCTTTTTGGAAGGACTGGCTGCATTCCTAGGTATCAAAGGCTTATTAAATATTTGCCCAAACACGACTGCAAGGTGTTCTCTTACAAAGCAAATGCACTCTCTTCTACCTTCTCTATTTCTTTGTTAGCTTTCAGATTATTCTTCTCAGTATCTAAATCAATGTGATCCCACAGCAGATTTGTCTAACAGGGCAATATATGCCCCACATGACATGAATCCTTGCTTTGAAAGTCATAGGTCTGGTTCCTGTCCAGAAAGCAGACATTCATCCCGATATACATTCTAAATGGGAATGCTAAGTATTCTGTGACCAGAAAGCAGCCTGATTCATGTGTTCTGCACATCTGCAATGAAAAGTAATAGAAATTGATTTCAAAGATGTGTCTGCATTTGAAAATATGTCCTTCCTTGTGTCCTTCAGGATGATCATGCAAAACAATATGTAAGGTATGTCCATCCAGGCTGGATGTGGCTCTGGGCAGCCTGGACTGCTGGTTGGTGACCCTGCACATAGCAGGGGGTTGAAACTGGATGAGCATTGTGCTCCTTTGCAACCCAGGCCATTCTATGATTCTATGATATTTTGATTCCTTGCTAGCTCACCACCTTTAAGGATTCCTTGTGATGGGCAAACTTAGAATCATTTGAGCTGGGAGGGACTATTACAGGTCATGCGAGTCCAATTTCCCTGCAGTGAACAGGGAAATGCCTGTGAATATCCTCATCATTCATCATTTAGGAAAAAGATAGAGCCTGCAGAAGATCTTACTCCATGTGGAGCAGTAACTGGAGGCCCAACAAATACCTGACAGTGCCTACAAGATCATGAACAGCCTACTTATAAGCAGATTAATTTTGCACTGTCTCTCTTTCGTATAGTCCTCAGAGCCCTGCATGTGGATGCTTGCAACATAGATGATTGGCCACAGTAAGGCAAGGGAGGGTTGGCCCATGCAGTAGCCATAAGGTATGCCTTTGTCTCACCCTCACATAAACTTCTGAAATAATTAAGATGAAATTATCTTACTGATTATGATGGATTTAATGAGAAGCACAGAAGTGCTTGTTTGGGTCAAAAAGGTTTCTGTCCCTCCTTAACTGGAGGAGGAATTGGTTTCCGTAGTTGGTGGCTATTAGCATAGGAGGAAATGGAGGAGACCTTCATGGAAAAAGCAAACAGGTTGTGGCTAATGTAATCTTGAAGATGGGGAGAGGAGCTTGTTGAGTCAATAAGGCATCAACAAAGGCTGGGTAGACAATCTCACTGCAACATCTCATGTGGACACGAGCAGTGCAAGCCACCTAGAGAAAGATGGGGTTGCAAATGAGGCAGAAGATGGGAGAAAATCAAGCAAGCAGTGTTGTAATGCTTCTTTTCATGCTGAAAATGTCTTGCTGATCTCTCCATGTTCCCTCTGTAGTTGGTGGGGAAAGAGGTATTTTTACAATACATCTGCTGTCCTTTATCTGTGGATGAGGCAGATCACACCTTGGATGTTCTTGACAGTATTGTCTGGATCTGCATGGCTGAAAAAAATTAAAAAGATGATTTTGTAGATATCAGCTGTCGGAGTCCCACCTATAGAGTCAGCTTGTGATTATATAGCTTTACCATTGTGTACTACTGTGGTTATATAGCTTTGTGTTGAGGGATATGGTTTAGTGAGTACTATTGGTGACAGGTGGATGCTTGGACTGGATGATCTTGAAGGTCTTTTCCAACGTTGGTGATTCTGTGACTATAGGCTCCCCAATGATCCACTTCCAACTCAGCATATTCTATGATAGTGTTGGCTTCGTCCATGCCAGGGCACCCAAATCTGCCAGTGCAGGACATCCTTGTGTCACAAAGGACCTCAGACTGCAATACATTATCAGCCTGTGCTCACTCTGATGCATAAATATATCTTTTTTTTTTTGTGCTAAGTGAAAAATGCCTGCGATAGTAGCAACTGTTCAAATTGCCATGTATCTCCCAGCACAGCGTGAAGAATTGCTCACAGACCCCTTAAGAAAGGAGTTTTGTGAGTTGTCATTCCTGGTCTTGTACTCTGCCTCTATGCCTTGTGACTGAATGGTGCCCTGGGCAGCCTGGTCTAGTATTAAATGTGGAAGTTGGTGGCCCTGCCTGTGGCAGAGGTGTTGGAGCCTAATATCCTTGAGGTCCCTTCTGATCCAGGCCATTCTGTGATTCTGTGATTCTATGAAATGCTCCAGCCTCATGCCTCTGCCATTCCTTCATCATACCCATCCAGAAAGGATTCCCCAAAATTCATTAACCAAAGCAATTCCACGTTTGAGGAGCATGTAGTTGAAATGCATCACATTTTGCTCCCCTAAATCTCACCTGGGAGCTCCTAAATGCTGCTCAGTGCACTCCCACCAGTAAATCCCCACTGGCTGCAGATGGCCCAGGCTTTGGATGAAAGGAACGAGTGTCACTCATATCCACACAGAGGCAGGGAAAAAACAAAGAGCAGAGGAATGACCTGGGGAGGAGGATGACACATCCCAGGCCCTTGTCAGCTCAGCTCAGTGTTACCTTCACTGCCTGGGAGTGAAGTGCCTGCTCTGCCACCACTTTCCCCCATTGCCACCCTGCAGCAAGTCTCTGTTTGTGCCATCTGCCTTGCAGCAGGCAGCTGCTGTGCATACAGATTGGCAAGCAGGAGCCCATGAAGACCCCACTGCAAAATACCAATGGGTGATAGGGGAGGGGTGAGCTAATTCTGAGCAATCAGTGGGGACAAGTCTCTCACCAAACATATGGCATTGAGAAAACACTTTTTATGCCTTCTTTTTTTTTAATTATTTTTTTATTTTTATTTTTTTATACCATCATGTTTCATAGCAACTGTTTTCAGCAGGAGAGAGGAGCAGGGGGGGATGTGTGAGTGAGCTTGTCACTCGTGCAAATCAATTATTGCTCTAAATTCACCATGGTGCAAATGCAGAGCACCGAGGAAGAGCTGCTAATCAGATCTTCATGCCCTGGCCCAAAAAGAACAGAGTATAACCTAAGCAGACCCACTGAAACCAATGTATCTATTTCTGAACATCTCAGGGATGCTTAAGCAATATGGATATAGGTATATAATAAGTAATATAAGTAACGATGCAATTGGTGCACTCTTCTAAATGAGTCTGGAGAACGGTGCTGGGGCAATGGCAGGTGCTAACAGAGCTCTTTGGCCAGCTGATTTCAACCCTCAGATGTTTTGCAGTTGTTTGGGCCACTGAGTGCTGGAGAGAAATTTCCTATTCATTTCTTTTTCCTCATTTTTCTTTTCTTAGGTGACTGTTCCCATTACCTGTAAGCGTTAGTTCTGAGCTGCAGTGAGGACTTCACAGCAAGTTGCTGTGTTTAATTATTTATTTTCCAAGGAAGAGCAGCCCTCCTTCTCACTTCAGCTTTCTCCTTGCATTGCAATCTAATCTGTCCATGTCATTAGCATTTACCCTCTTTTCCCTTCTTATCCTCTGCTTTTTACTTTTCTTAACTGAGCCTTTCTTCTTTTCTTAACAAGCATTCGCAATTCTTTGTAGACTTGACTTTCTTCGGAGTCCTTTGTCAGACCCCTTCAGTTTTTGCAATAGCTGCCAGGCCATGGGGTGATTATAATTGGATTTTGTTTACAAGAGCTACTTTTTTATCGTTATTGTTGTTTTTATTTAACCTGGGTAATCAGTTTATTCACCAGAGACTTCATTTCTGTGGGTTGGGGAAGGCAGCCCCATGTGAATGATGGGGGGACCATGGTGCTCAAGTCGCTCAAGATGATGTCCATCAAGATAATGACTTTGGTGGCAAAAGTAGCATAAAAAACCCAATCACTTCTTCTTGTTTCTTCTCCAGTTCAGATCGCCTCCATCATGCTGAATCAGGGGTTTGTGGGTTGCACCATATATGAGCCACTGGGTTGATCTCAGTTCAGAATCACATTCTCATGAGTTGGTTAATGCCTGCCAAGCACCCAGAGCATGTCCCTGTGCAGGCTTTGAAGGCCTTTTGGCTCTTCACATGGGACTTCACAGAATCACAGAATTGCAGGGGTTGGAAGGGACCTCCAGAGATCATCGAGTCCAACCCCCCTGCCAAAGCAGGTTCCCTACACCAGGACTTATCCCGTAAGGACTTCAAGGGCTGCAAAAAAGCAATCTCAGAGTTACACACGGAGCAAGGTTTACTGGGAATTTTGGGTGCTCACAATGGAAATGTGCTACAGATCACCACTGTTTCTTCCTTTCTTCTCTTCCAGGTAGGCTGCAAAGCCATGATGGTTTTCTTCCAGTACTGCGTCATGGCCAACTTCTTCTGGCTGCTGGTGGAAGGGCTGTATCTTCACACCCTGTTGGTCATCTCCTTCTTTTCAGAGAGGAAGTACTTCTGGTGGTACATCTTAATTGGCTGGGGTATGCATCTTCTCAGGCCTGAATGCCAGGTGGTAACCCTGGCAGGCATTTTTAACAGCAATTTAACCCCCAGTGGTCAGAGGAGCTTAACACCATTAACCTTCAAAACTATTTAAGAGCTTAGTTTGTGCTCGATTCGTTGATAGTTGAGCACCTCAGTGTCTTAAAGGTCTTTTGGCTGAAACCCCTATTTGATCCATACTGGGATCCCAAGGTTGTATTGAGCACTGACTTTAAAATGTAAGGATGAACTAAGCAGGACTGCTGGATTCAACCAGACTCTGCAATCCTTTGCTCTTCTTGCCTTGCTGAGATCAGGCTAGATAGCTATCCTGACAAGGGGAAGAGGAAGGGGAAGAAGACAAAATGAAACTTCACAAGGTTGCCCAGAGCTGAAATACTAACATACGAAATTAATCCTGCTAGATAGACTTCTCTTCTTTCTCCAAAGACATTGTAAGTCATTTAGCTGGAGAAGTATGTATAAGCAAGCTAAAAAGCTTTCTGTTCTGTGCTCTCTGTAGCTGAAACCGGGAAATAATTAGAGCAGGCAATAATCTTGAAAAGGAAGGGGAAAAAGCATTTGTGTCATTTGGAAGGTTATGCCTGGACTCAAGGTTTGACCAGTTAGCTGTACAGTAACTTCCATTGAAAGTGACAGGAGTTACGCTTGGGTTCACTCTGCAAAAGAGAGGCAATTCTCCATGCTGTAAGTGTGGGGAGAGATGATGTTAGCAGGCCTGGCTTCAGATGCATCAGGTCAGACCTTCTTTAAACCTGGCTTGTGCAGAGACCCTTTCAGCACAGTGCCTCTGAAAGATCTTAAAGAGGAATGTATGATTTAAAATCAAAGGAAATATTTTGCATTGGTAATGTGTTCTCAGGTTCTTTGGGTGAGGAAGGGCAGTGGAAGGATTTTTGGCCTCTCAGTCAGCCATCATTTGCAAGAGTGTGGATCTGAAATGGATTATGCAAGAATTAATAACTTGGACATACTTGTTCTGTTTGCACTACCGTTGCGTTTGGAAATCACTGTTAATGAAGAATACTGTGATTAACCCAGAACAAAGAAACCTTTCCTACCTGGGATGTTTCCAATCTAAATCTAATCAAAGACAACAAACAGAGAAAGAGGAAAAAGGGACCACAGAGATGGAGCAGGACAGCTCTCCTCAGGCAGACCATCCTGGAGTGAGGAGCAGTGGCGAAAGCATGCCTGATGGTTTGTGACAGTAACACCATCTCTCCTCTCACCAGGTGCCCCCTCCGTGTTCATCACTGCTTGGACGGTCGTCAGGATTTACTTTTTCAATGTTGGGTAAGCCTATGGACTCACTTTGCTTTCCTGCTGTGAACATATGTGCAGATTTGTGAGCAGATCCCCCACCGTCCCCTTTTGCTCCCCTGAGCCCCGTGCTGAGATCAGAGCTCCTACAGAACTGACCCTGCATACTCTAGAACACCAGAAACCTCATAAACACATCCATTAGCTCCCTCAGAAAAGCTCTGAAAACTCTTGATCTTTTTTTCCAGGCAGATCTTTGGATCTGTTCTCCAATCCTCTTTAACATAACAGCTGCCTTTGACACTTTATGTAAGAAATAGATAGAATACAGGTAAGCAAATGAGGCACATATTTGAGCTACCCAAGGATACATGCAAGTAAACAGGATCTGATCCATCATGCTTTGACTCAGTAGTCAAACTGGGGTAGTTTGAAATGCTTTTATGAGAAAACACTGCAGAGCATCACAGATTCAGGTGCTCATTATGCACTCGCTGTGCATGCCCTTGCATCATGCATTTACAGCACATGGTTAATTCCATTTTCTCCCTTGCAGTCTCTCTCCAAACGTGTCCTGATTTGTCCTTATTTCAGTAAAGGAAGCAGCTCAGATTTTTCCCTGTGTTTTTGATGTATGGTCATGCTAACACATTTCCTTAGGACTGCTGACTTCTTCTATGGTCTCACTCTATCTGCATAAAACTGACCTTATTTACTGTGTTTAATAAATAGCCTCTAAAAATGAGATAGAGACCAAAGGATTTAACCATTCTGACTACCAATTCTTCTTCCTATACATATTCCCACTCTGTTCCAGTAATTCTTAATAAAAATGCAGACTGCTTTGCAGCAGAGGCTTTAAAGCTCAACATTTTTATGCCAAGTAAAACAGTGTGAATATACAGAATATGTTAACCCCTAACATAGATTATTTCTTTTTGCATATTAAAATTACCAACAAAATTGCAAGGAATTAACCCAGGTTAAATAAAACCTAATTAGGTAAGATTTGTTAAACAGCATTAAGCTCGTATTTAGAAATTTAAACTCCAAATTAAAGTGACCTTCGTTCAGAATTCTTAAAAATGAAGTGCTCCAGATATAAAGAGGGCCACTTTAACTGAATGAAAGGGCTGCTTGGATGCATCTAGCTGCATTTACTACGGGTAACCCCACCTCACCTTCTGTTATCTCTTTCAGAAGGGGATGTTTGTTTTTCCAGCAGTGCCAATTACTCTGTGCCCAAATAAATCCTTAGCCAGGATGATGGTCAGCATTAGAGGCCTCACTAATCCGTGATTCTGATAGCACTCCCCTGGAGTGAGACCTCAATGTAGGGAAAATTAAGCAAATCTCCATCCTTCCCCATATTCACCTTGGTACATTCATAGATCCATTTGAGTTGGAAGAGACCTTTAAAGGTCATCTGTTCCAACTCTCCTGCAACGAACAGGGACATTTTCCAGCCCATTTCATTACCAGGGAGAAAAGCACCCACAGCCTTATATTTGGAGCAAATGTTACCTACCAGTGCTCAAAGCCACTGCAACAAAAGTCATCAGCTCTTCCCAGTGCGCACAACTTTATCATTTTAACACAGACTATTAGGGATGGGACAGCGGGTAATGGCTTTAAACTGAAAGAGGAGAGATTATGTCAGATGTTAGGAAGAAATTCTTTACTCAGAGGGTGGTGAGGCCCTGGCATTGCTGTCCAGAGGGAGTGTGAGTGTCCCATCTCTGGGGATGTTCAAGGCTAGGTTGGATGGGGCCTGGCCAGCCTGGTCTGGTGGGGGGCAACCCTGCTTATGGCAGAGGATTGGAACTCTATCTAGAAAGTCTCTTCCAATCTAAGCAATTCTGATTCTGTGACTTAAGCAAAGTACCTGGAAGGTAACAGAGCTGGTTGCTTTTTTTTTAATTGATGTTTTAAGTCTGATTTATTTAACTTTATTTATTTATTTATTTACTTTTTAGATGCTGGGAGGAAATAATAGAATCCCCAATCTGGTGGATCATTAAAACTCCTATTTTGGTGTCCATTTTGGTAAAGTATCAACATATTCTTAAAGCCATCTTTAATACAAAATGGGGGGGGGGAGGGGGAAGGAAGGATAGAGGTGCCTTGATAAGTACTCTGTAAAAATCCAAGAAAAATGCATTGACAGATAACATTGCATTGTGTACTGAATGCCTTTCTTGGGATAAGAAGCTCAACCTCTGGATAAGCATCTTTATCTTTAAACACTGACTTAAATGTTGTGGGAAGAGCTTGAGTGATGGGGCACTCAAGATGGAGCTCATGTAAGCCAGACCAGCTCCATCTCATCCTTTTTCTCTGGTACAGTAGCCGTGGGAGCACATAGCCAGAAGAGATCAAGGAACATACTTGGAGACCCAAGAAAAAGTCATTTTAGCTAATGAATCAATGTATAAGTTAGAATTTTGCCACCAGTTTTTGTTTCTCTGAGGTCAGAGCCCAGGGTGACTTGTTCCATTGTAGATGTGGACAATGTGAAGAAATGTGGGATGAGGCCTACCTTAAACTTCTACCTAGCTAGATGAATTCCCACAATTATTTACCTCTTGTTGTAGCATCTAGCACAAAGCTGGATTCCAGCTATGTATTTTTGCATTAAGTTCTTGAGAAGCTTGGCTAATTTCCATATAAATTGGCAAAGGTGCTTAACTCATTACTTCTCCAGATCAGTTCTTAGCAATCATGACGCTTCTGAGGAACTGAGTACTTCCATCCCTGGTGAATATTATGTGTTTCCTCTGTCAAGCGTAGAGCCAAAACTTGAAAAATGAATTTGAGTTAAACTTAGCTTTGAGTTTTCTCAAATCAAGAAACATGCGTGGGAAGGGAAGGAAAAGAATACAGCAGAAATCAAAGCCAATGTGATTTTTTTTTTAAACTGAAGCCTTGTCTTAGACATACATTCTTCTTATTCCGCATACATTACGCCCTTTACAAGGAGACCTTTTCTGTAGCATTTGTCATACAGGAATTCCAAACTGAAACAGTTGGAATAATTACTTTTTATTCTTTCGCTGCACTGCAAAGAAATAAAATACTTAGATGACACATCTCAAAATATTTATGTCATCATCAAAAGACATAAACTGTATTCTCCCTTTCCCAAGATAACCTTTTAGTGCAGAAATACGCCGTACTCTCCTGGGATCAGTGATGCCATGTTTTCTTTTGGTCAGTAAATCAATTCCTCATTACCAAACAAAATCTACCTGGCAATTATCTGATTTTACTTTTGCAAGTATCATATAAATCTGTCACAAAGGAAGGCCATGATAACAGCCATATGATGAATAACAGATTTCTGCAGGCAGGAATGCTACAAATTCTGCATGTCCACTCGAATAAAGCATAGCCTCAACTGAAGGAAGATAAATATACATATATAAAGTTAAACGTTAGAAAAATCTTTCTAACCTGAAGAATTAAGCACTGAGAATTGATCAAGTGCCTTTAATTCTATTCCAAGTTGAAAAATAATCTAAACCCTTTTAGTTGTTTGATAGTCGTGTCTTCTACCATGCAATGCTAAGGCTGTACTAAGCCTTTAAGTCACATTCCACCTGTTTCTGTGCCCATGTCTGCTCTTAACTATGATGAGCCAACACAGTATTTAATTTATGGCAGGAGGCTGGGAAGCAGCTCTGATCCTACCTGCAGTGGTGCAGACTGTGTGCTATCAATGCTCATTAGAGTAATAGATCTAGCTAATTCTATTTTGGATTGATAAATTTTACTTGCCATCAAGTAGGATGCTAAATATTTTATAAGCAAATAAATATGAACAGAAGCTATAATAAATGTCATGGGGTAGATAAAGAATGTTTAGGCAATGCATCATAACCAAGAAATATAATTAATTTCCAGTCACTCTTAGCCTTGGAAAAAGAGCTGTTGTCTAAATGAGAAATAGGCTTTAGTCTGCTGCATTCACCTGTTGTTGATATAAACCTGAGAGTTGCTGGAGGAAATGTTAGAATTTGTTTTTGCAGGAAATCAGATTGGTTGGTTGACACAATCCTTCCTGCCTTTACATATATTACATTTTCAAGCTACGGCAGGGGAGATTCAGGCTGGACATGAGGAAGTATTACTTTTCAGAAAGGGTGGTCAGGCACTGGAATGGATGCCCAGGGAGGTGGTGGAGTCACCGACCCTGGGGGTGTTCAAGGAAAGGCTGGATGTTGTGTTGAGGGACATGGTTTAGTGGGAGCTATTGGTAATGGGTGAATGGTTGGACTGGATGATCTTTTAGGTCTTTTCCAACCTTGGTGATTCTATGATTCTATGATTCTATATCTTAAAAATCAGAGTCCTTTGTGCATTCACTGAACACGAATGGATAAAGAAACTAAACTAGACTATAAGGAAACTAAACTAGACTATGAAGAAGCTAAACTAGACGAAGGCCACACTTCACTTTTCTGTTGGATGTGTTGCGTGAATAACAGCAAGGTTCAATGGGTAGGATTTTAGAAGCCAGTAATTTTTGTTCAACTGATGCCATCTACTTTGTACAAAACTGCCATTCCTAGCTCTACACATTTGCTATAAAATAAGGCTAGCTTTGCTTGAGTACGTTAATGAAGCAGTTCTAGCTGAGTCTTCTGGTCTAACCTTGTAGGAGAGGCAACTGTCCACTATGCTGGTGAGGTGTAACTCTTGCTATGCGTTGTCTCCAACTTCTCTCCAGAGAAGAATGCCCATCAGCGCTGAGCGGAGACCTGCTTAAGTGAATACAGCTTTGTGTGTTGTGTTGGTTCCTTTGGCTCACTGCCTCGGTCTTTGACACGCTCAGCAGCCGCTCCCATGTCACCGTCTCCCAAGGGCTTTTGACGTCCGTCGCTCCGCTAACTCCCAAGGCTCCTTTCCCACCCTGTCGTCGGCAGGACGTCGTGCATAGCTGTGCTCTATGGGTTTGACATCATCATACTTGGGATGTATGACACAAAGTCCCAAGCAGGCTGATGTCAGGCCCAAGATGGCTGCCATCCTGTGTCGGTTTACTGTGTGCTCCTAGAGTGGGGTTCTCTGCTCATGGCTTTTTAACAACGGCTTGCTCCGTGGCAAAAATATTGCAGTGAAAGGCACCCCCCCCTCTCCCCCCCTTTAACAATTTCTTCTTTTCACTGCAGAACAATGCTGCAGGGGCATGATTTTTATCTTTCTTTTTCCTGTTTCTCTCCATCCCAACAGGTGAACTTCATTCTCTTCATTTGTATCATCCGTATCTTAGTCCAGAAGTTGCATTCCCCAGATGTTGGACACAATGAAACCAGCCAGTATTCGTAAGTCCTGGGCTTTTTTTTTACAGTATTGTCTGGTTTTGCAAAACCTGTTTGGCATTTAGTCAAAATACTGCATCTGTCCACATTTTTCCTCATCACAATTGTGAATTTGTTAATTTGCTAAAGATGATCAGAAACCAAGAAATGGGCCTTTCGCTGGTGGGCATGAGAGTAAGAGTAGCATTCATGAAACAAAAAGGCCTTTCATCAATATTTATTGGATCCTGAAGGCCAGAGGACCCTGGTGAAGAACAAAGTGTATCCATCTACAGTATAGGGGCATTTTTATCTGAAGCAATTGCCCTCAACTCATTTCTTCAGAGTAGAAACTGAGAAAATCCATGCATTCAGTAGAATCTGTGGCAGTTTTTCCATACCGTAACGATGACTCCTGAACGAGATTGCATTAATCCATCCCTAACGTACTCATTTCTCTTTGCTCTTGAGAAACGAATTTGTCTGAGAAGTTTTGCTTATCATCTAGCTTTTGTCCCGAGGATATAAAGTTGACCTTACTGGGGCTCTTTATAATGAACAACAGTGCAAGTGAAATGAGAATTTGTCTCAGTGTGTAAGACTGGTCTTTGGTGCAGCATTTTAAAATTACAAGAAATCCATTTTCCTGTATGGATTTCTTATATCTTCAATGCAAATAAAATAAAAGTTCAGACATCGTCTCATTTTTACCTCCTGCTTCTGTCCTGGCTTAGCATTTCAAATATCCAGGATGGTATCAAAGGATTTCTAGAAAATAGCTAAAAAGGAAGAAGAGCAGTGTCTACCTGCTCGCTGTTCATAAAATCTTCTTTACTTTTTGAGGGAGCTGTGTACTTTGAAGAATGTGAACTCAGTTCATCCTTCAGCAAGGTGGAAGACTTAAAATGAGTGTAGACCTTAAATATTGACCAACCACAACTCTGTGCCTTTTTCTCTAGTGATGGTAAATCACCTATTTCATCTCCTTCCAGAGATTCTCAGATTTATAAAGGAAAATTCCAGTATTTCACCTTAACTTCTCCCTGCAGCACACAAAGCCAATGATTTCTTTTTTCATCATAACACACCAACATTACCAGACCTGTGTTTTCTATCACATCTCTATGTATTTCAAGTTGGGCAATATATATTCCCAAAACCAAGACTGCAACAGCTTTAGCCAGGTGGTAGATTAAATCATCATATTGAAATATGTTCTAGTACTTACTATGCAGCAGCCTGGGGCAGTTGGCTCCCGTTCATCTCCCTGGAAGTGCTGCCAGCCACTCATCAGAAGGGTTATGCCCAGATTACCTAGCAGGTCATGCTGAGCTTTGAGCTCACAGCTTTTTTTCTACTTATTTTCCAGTGAAGTGTGAATTGCCAGTAAATCTTCTTTGCCTGGTAAACAAGCCTTGCATGACAGGGCAGTAAGTAACAAAGGCTTCCCCACGTTGGCCTGTCAAATAGGAACCAATTGCAGAAGGATGAATGATCTTCACATCTTCAATTCTTCACCTTCCTCATCCATCTGGAAAAGCATCTCAGCTCCATTCAGGCACAAATCAGTCACATATGGTTGTCCAAGCCATATCAGATGCCTTAGGATGTTTGATACGCTTGTCTGGATCTGGCATATATGACACTGCACCTGTGGGAGACTAGTGTGTAACTTGTGTATATGTACAACCAGACTCCATGGTCTGTCTGAAAGTCTCTACTGACTGTTGACTGCAATGAGACATGAGGCACCATAGTCTCCTGTAGAAACTAATGCTAAGAGTCTCAACTTAAGGTTTGGATCCCAGCAAGGGTCCTCAACGTTTAGTGTTTAGATGGCTAGCTGTAGAGAACCTGGAGTCATCCATTGGTAGGAGGATGGTTGGACTAGATGATCTTAGAGGTCTTTTCCAACCTTGGTGATTCTGTGATTCTATGATTAAGCATGTAATCTGCAGTCTGGATCCTTTTATAAGTCATACCCCTATTACCTGAAATGCTGATGCTAGCTTCAGGGCTTTGTCCTGCAGGACCCAGAAAGCTTACCATAACCTGTTGGTAATGATATGCATTGGTTTCCCCTGCCACATCTGGGATAAGCAGGCTTTAAAATGACAACACTGTGATTCTCTTGTTTCCATTTCTTCCTCCTCCTCTTGTTTATTTTATATTGTTTATATTTAAAAAATAATGTGTTGATATGTTGATAGTATTGTTCAGCTCCAAATGGTTTCAGTTTATCTGCAGGGTAGAAATTCAGGTACACTGCTGATTCACTCACTCATTAATGCTACAGGTACTGAGCTTTAATATGTCAGAAACTGTGAAAACAAGTCTTCTAAAACAGTTTTCTGCAAATGACAGAGATTTGTGCAAGAGCAGGACAGCAATATTTGGGGCAAATAGAAGAAGAAAACACCTTATTTTCTGCAGAAGAAATGTTGAGCAAAATTCATCTCATTCCATTCTGTGCATGTTCATGATTCAATATTATCATCAAAGTTTTTCAGGCAACTTTCCATTATGTGTTCAGGAGCAAAGTGTTGTTTAACTCTTTCCTCTCCAAAGGAGAGGAACAGGTGCAGTGCTGGGTAGATGTGTTTTTCCTAAATCATCTGTCAACACATCAGAGAGGATAGGTATAAGAAATTCACTCTGTGACAGGAGGAGAAGGTAGTTAATTTTTTGAGAAACATGGTTTCCTTCAGGTAACATTAACCAGCCTCAGACAGCCTCCCATGCATTTATGTCTACTGCACAGCCAGTCTTTAGCTTCCTGGGAGTAACACACCACGACATATGGAAGACAATTTTCCTTGTTGCAATTTGTAGGGGGATTTTTCCAATATTGCAGAGCCAGACCAAACTTGCCTTGAAGATGACATAAAATCCAAAACATCACTCAGTATTCTGGGAAGCTTAGTGCTGGAAGTGAGATACTGGTCTCAGGTGTTGTGCAAACTGGAGGATGGAACTCCTAGGGGTTAGTCTATGGACCCTGCTCATAGGCTGGTTCATGACAGTGGCAGTCCTTGCTTCCTACAGGCATTCCATTTGCCTGGAATGAGTTGCAGCCAGCAGGTATTCCATGGGGAACCACAGCCTCCAAGCAGAATTTTAACATCAAACTGTCATTGGGCCTGGTCCAGGGAAAGCTGGAAAGGTCTACTGGGAGATAAGTAATAAGCTGATAAGCATCATCTGCATATGCTGGCACATGAGCCTTTACTGCAGGTCTATACAGATGGAAAATAAATGAAGATTGTCTGGGGAGACTGAGCCAGATGGAACCAGAAGGGTTTGTAGATGGAAGAACAAGTATTCCAACACCTTTGCCTGAGCTTCAGTTTCTCCAGAAGCCTCTGTGAGAGGGGGATGCAGAAGGATGTGGATGACCAAGAGAGCCAAAACCCCCTTAAGCATTCTGAAGTTCTTGATTTCCTTTTTATTTTATTTTTTATTTCTTTTTTGTCAGCTAGATTCTAATAATGATTAGATTTAATAAATTATCATCTCTTCCTAATTAGACCACTCATTACCCAGCCTGATGCCATTAAGCACTAATACTGTTCATCCCCCTCCTTTGGAGACATTCATTGTGCAATAGCCTATCATTATTCTGAGCTAAACATACCATTTCTCTCCCAGAAGCTGTAATTTCCACAAATCCTAAGCAAACAAAGAAGACACTAGATAATGGTTTAGTTTGTAGAGATGAAAAAAGATCTCCAGCAGGAGGGGAGAAAGAAATACCTCCATTGAAGTTACGGGGAATAAAGATAGCACATTTTATGTTGTCACCACATCTGAATTCACCAGCCATCTGCAGTCTGCAGGGGAAACAAACTGGGGCTGATGGCTCTCCCTCAGCTGAAGATGTGTATTTCTTTGAGAACTGTTCATGAGGTGGAAAGGGAGCACGTGGAAGCGCTCCCAGCACAGTCCTTTGTTCCATGAAATGCTGTAGCTAGCAACTGACTGTGCCCAGCAGAAGGTCTGCTTCTATGTTCCATCACATCCCAGCCCGGGTTGTTAGAAGGATCCTGGGGAGAGTAAGCAATGGGGAACTGATCTTAGCTCCTTCCTTTTTGGTATAGCCCAGACGTTTCTGCTTAGTAGGTGAGGGCAGCCTGCTGACATTGCCTTGTTTGAGGATGCTATTGAAAGCCTGGATGTTCCCAGGACCTCAGAGTAGGTGGCCCACATCACATATCCCAACGAAAAGAAACATTTTAGTGTGCATGGCTGCCCTACCACGGTCCTAATAATCAGCAAATAGGTACTGCATGCAGCAAGTTGAAGTTTCAGGGGTGCATAAAGTTCAGCTGCAGGATTTCTCATCAGTTTACCCTTTAGCTCCTCTTCCCTTTTCCCTTATGACTCATGTTTGTCTTTCCAACAGGAGACTGGCCAAGTCCACCTTGCTGCTGATCCCTCTCTTTGGCATTCACTACATCATGTTTGCTTTCTTCCCTGACAATTTCAAAGCAGAAGTTAAGCTGGTGTTTGAGCTTGTGGTTGGGTCATTCCAGGTAAGTCACCAAGTGGACCACGAGATTTATATATACTTTACCAGGAGTTTCTCTCTCCTTGTTTTAGGCACCAGGAAAGAAAACACACTTCTATATGCTAGTCCCCCTGGGGCTTTTTTGTATTTACAAGAGAAAATCAAGCATGTTCATCCAGTTTAGATATCATTAACACAGTAAGATGTGATGAGTAGACTTCAGGAAGAGTCTTTCTGGCCATTAATGGCATCCTAGTCTATGACCAGTTGGCTTTCATGAACTATATTTTCTGCTAAAAGAGTTCTGCCTCTGCCTCTGCCCAAGTAGGATTGCACTTTATTGGAGGAGGAGTCAGGTTCCCCATGAGGACACATTAATCCTGAGTAAACCTTTGATGGAGTTTGCTTTGTATACCTTCCCACAAGCCTCACCTCATTCACACCCAGCGTTGGGCTGTTTACCTTGGCCTTGCTGTTGCATGAACAGAAGCACTTGTTTGTGCAATTGCATCCATCCGTCAAGCAGTTGTAGCCACTTTGTGTTCTCAATCTCTGCACAGTTCAGGTTTCCCAAGGAAAGTTGCCTCTACTATCCCACCAAATTGCCTTCAGTGGTTAAGATTGAATGGCCAGGTGTCCTGCTTAGAGCTGAAGTGATGCCTGATGGATTTAAGCACTGATTTGGAGCAAGCCTTGAAGTCAAAGCCTTGCATCTGCTCCAAGGTGCCCTAAGCAACTTTCCTCTTCTCCTTTTGTAGGGAAAATGTGATCAGTTGGTTTGTAAGAGGCACTTTAGCAGTTCTCTGACATTATGCCCTTTCTCCAGGACTGCAATGGGCTTGGGTTGTGATCTAGGAGAATACAAGCTAGGCGTTGCTAAAAGCCTGCTTTCTCCTTTCTCCTAGGGTTTTGTGGTGGCTGTCCTCTACTGTTTTCTCAATGGAGAGGTAAGATCAACAATGTTGTCTGGTTAATATTTGCTGCTATGGCAAATTGAATGCTTGTGGAGAGCAGATTAAGGAGTGTCCCATTCCTGATGCTATCACACTGGGGAAACCTTCCAAGTCAAGTCACTCACCCCATGTAAACAACTCAACCATTAGCCAGAAAGTTTCCAGCGCAATTAATAAACGTATTAGGACTAATAATTGCTGCTGAGTCCTTCCTTTACTCATCGGTATCAGTAAAACCTTGCCTAAATCCTGAATTAAAGGGAACACCTTCAGCAAGGAAGGATGCGCCCATCTTTCAAGCTCTACTCAGGTTTAGAATCTCCTGAAACCTCAACCCCGGAATCAGACCCACTGACAAAATGGAGGCTTGTTAGTGCAGTGATATTTTTGTACCACGCTCCATCTGCCAGAAAGAGACTCAGCAGAGACTGATTAAACCCAAATGGTGAAGTCTATTGGGAAGGTGTGAGCAGCTGGGAACTTGGAGCTGCTGTCAGATGGAGCTTGTTCAGCTCGATAAACTGTCAGGAAGGAAACAGCTGTGCTCTGGGCTTGTGTTCCAGCTTCTGAGGAGAGGAAGAGTGTTCAGAATCAATTTGCTCTCTTAGAGCTCTGATCCTTCTTCCAGCCATGCTGATGCCACGTGGTCAACACACAGAGCCCATCTCCAGCAGGGACCTTAGCTAGTGAGCCTGTTTGGAGCAGGGCAGTGCCACACAGACTTCCTGATGGTCCAAAACCCAAACAGGACTGATGTATCTTATTATGCCCAGACCCGTGCTAAGTGAACATATTTCCAGCTTACAGGTGTTGATCTTGACTTTCCCACATTTCCAACACTGGAGTTTGCTTTTGTGGTGTCCTGTTCTTGTGCTTGTTGAGCCCAGAGACCCTCAGAGCTGTTTTATCTAATTCATGCCACAATCCAAAACTTTGCACTCAAAGCCTGCATGAGGGGATGGGGACTGTGGCCAGATTTGTGCAGGGTTTGAACATGAATGGTGTAAACCAAATGATGTGTGTAAACACCCTGAATAGAAACAAGAAACCTCCATCAAAAAGCACAGCTGTATTGATTGCTTTACAAACAAGCTGCAGTTAAATCATTTTTACTGGGACAATAAACAATTAGATGTTGTACTGGGGAGGCATGGTTTAGTGGGCAAATATTGGTGGTAGGTAGATGGTTGGATTGAGGGATCTTGGGGTCTTTTCCAGCTTAGATGATTCTACATCTATGAAAAGCAGGGCAGTGGGAAGAATCCCAGTTATACTCACACGCTGTAGTAGTTGAGTAGTCTGACATCTTCACTTTATCAGATAAGCAACTCCCCATGCTCACCTTTCTGATTAAGCTCAAGGATTTCTGCTGAGGGAATCTACTTGCTGCAGCATTATCTCCCCTGTGTGACTAGCAGTTATTCCCAGGTTCAGTGACCTCTATAAACACTTATTACCCCTACATACGCTCTCCTCTGCTGACTTGCTTATCTTTCCACCATGTAGGTCCAAGCTGAGCTCAAGAGAAAGTGGCGGAGGTGGCACCTGGAGCGGTTCCTGGGCTCTGACATGAAGTACCACCACCCTTCTTTGGGCAGCAATGGCACCAACTTCAGCACCCAGATCTCCATGCTGACCAAGTGCTCACCAAAGACACGCCGGTGCTCCAGCTTCCAGGCAGAATTCTCTCTGGTTTGATGGAGAGAGGCTCTCTGAGCACTGAGCATCCAAGAGAGAGAAGGATCCCCAGGAATCAGTTACCTATGGACAAATCCTTGTGAAATGACATGCTCCACTTGAGCCAACAGAGGACAGAAAACTGGAAAAGCCATTGGCATCCAGAACGAGATCAGACAAGCTAAGAGGCAGAGAAATACTTTTCCTCTCCCTCTTTTCAGACCTTTCTCTCTAAGTTGGTGCCCGTGGGGCTGATAATGCTGAGTAAAGGTCCCAGTCACTTGAGGAGAGCCTGGGAGATCCTAATGTGCTATAAATACTGAATTTTGGGGGTATGGGAGGGAAGAGCTTGAGTTACTGGTGGCTTTCCCGGAACCGGCATCTCTGAAACAGATAAATTGCACTTTTTTTTGTTGTTGTTTTAAATGAGCCAGTAAAGGACAGAGAGAGGGAGAAAGAAATGGGGGGAAAAAATGCCAAACTTATGAATGTGCCAAAAGCCCAGCCGCTAAGAAGTGGTGATGTGGTGCTGGAAGCAGCAAGGAGAAGGGACAGGAAGAACACAGGCAGGAAAGGCAGAGGCCAACCTGCACAGTGCAAAGAAGCAGCAGCACCAGGCAAGGCCCCGGAAGGATGCTCTGATGTTGGAGTGTGTTCTGCTAATTGCTCACCATCTTCGTTAGCCGAAGCTTTCCATGTGCCATTGGGTACCCTCTGGAAGAGCAGCTTGCTGAGAAGGACCAGCACAAAATGCCCTTCTCTGTGCTGCGTTCAGGACATCAACATGCTTTGTTTGGTTGTTTTCACTGAACGGTTTGCATGTATAAAAACCAGGTACAGATGCCAACTGTGGAGTACGGCTGTGTTTTTCATACTTGTTCATTGAACCTGTAGATCTTCTTGGTGCATTACTGCACCCAGCATTATTAGGGATCGGGGGAAAGCAATCGGTCTGCAATCCATTTGCACTTGCTTAGTGCACACTGCCAGGAGAGGGAAGATGTAGAACCCTGTAATCCTTAATTGAATCAGGCCTGACATAAGGAGCCAGTCTCCAGATGAAAAAATTAGCTTCCCAGCAGCAAGCAAAATTGCTTTCAGCAAAACAAGGTTGGCTCAGCATGTAACTGGCACTCCAGGAGTCGGAAAGGAGTGAGGGAGCTATTAAATTGATTTCTTCTTCAGCTTGTGCAGCTTTCATCCTATGATAAAGGCACTGTTAGATCTTTAAGAGACGCATGTGCATTTTATGTCGTTTTTGAAGACCTATTAGTTTTCACACTGGGGCAGTCCCTGTTTGAAGGATGTACTTCAGCTTGCTGAAACCAAGGGAACTGTTATTTTTTTTTCTTTCCTTTCCTCGATGGAGGGGGGAAGGAGTGAAACCAAATCCTGCTCTGGCACACCAGGCTGGTGGTTCACAGCTCACATCACGTGAGCTCATTCCCAAGCCATGCATTTCAACCTTAGAAAATAGCCTAAGGATGCAGATGCTCATAGCTGTTTCCCACCCAACTGCATTGTATGAGGTCACATCAGTTTTACACTGGGGGTGGAAAATCTCCGACAAGCAAAGGTGTAAACTGAATAATTGGGCTGCCATTGTTCTACTACAGCATGTTACATCAGTGTCCTTGGGAAGGAGTCTGAGTCACCAACTTAACACATGTACATGGAAAGCAAATATGAGTGTTTTCATAGATCAGAGATCTCAACTTTTCCACTAAAAGCAACTGGACTCTTCTTTCTCTCAAATTAAATTGTAGTTCCTTGAAGGGAAACATCTTTAATTTAGAGTCTTCAGGGTTTGGGGTTTTTTCTCACTTGTTTGCTTGCTTGCTTTAAGCATCTCAAATTCACTGCCAACAAACCACACTGAGCCCAGGAGAACTGCAGATCAGGACATCCCATTGCTTTCTGAGTTCTGAGGGGAGGTTTTTCCTTTGCATACCTCTCCCCAGAGCTGTACTGTTGCCATCTGAGCTGGATGCTGCCAAAATACTGCCCCACATTCAGGCCTGAGGACAGCACAGACAACTGACATCAGTTGATGTGAGATACTCTGATAAAACTGCTGTGAAGGGTAGGTATGTACCCACGGGTTTCCAGCCTGTCATGGAGTAATCATGGCTACCCAGCTTGGAAAACCTAGAGCAGATAGATATTTGTGAAGATAGCTGTGCTGATCCCCATGGTCCTGGTATTAAACTGCTGGAAAAACTCCAGGCTAGCCAGTCTCAGGTCATCTTTGTTCTCTTTAGAATCAGAAAATCAATCACAGAATGGTTTGTGTTGGAAGAGACCTCTTAAGGATCATCTATTTCCAACCCCCCTGCCATAGATAGGGACACCTCCCACCAGACCAGGTTGCCCAAAGCCCCATCCAGCCTGGCCTTGAGCAGTTCCAGGGATGGGGAATCCACAGCTTTTCTGAGCTATCTCAGTGCCTCACCAGCTTAAGAATAAAGAATGTCTTCCTAAGAGCTAACCTAAATTTCCCCTCTTTTAGTTAAAATTGTTCCCCCTTGTCCTACTACCATGTAAAATGCTGATCTCTAAGTGGCTATGCTACAGTGAAACTATTTCATTAGCAGTCAGAATCCAAGTGCCATGAAATATTCAAAGTCCTCTCAGCAGCCACTCAATTCCCAAAATGCAGATAAACATTCTCACAGGGCTCTCAGAGGCAGGGACTTGGTGCTTGATGTTGGTTCTGCTGCTCTGAGTGCTTCCAGAGCTGGGTTAGGACTCATGCAGAAGGTGCTGGAGGACTCCCATAAGCAGTGCCAAGTCTCCCATACCAGCAACAGAGGAACTGAAGCCCAAAGCTGTTGAGAATCAAGTGGAGTACTGCTGCTGGCAGCAGGAGGTGGTCAGTGCCTGCGAGCCTGAGACACCTTGTGCATTTTTGTTCTGTGTTTCTTTTTTTTTTACCTTCTTTTTCTTCTCCCTGTGCTTGTGATTCCATCTGCAGGACGAACTTCTGCCTTTCATTTACAGCTCCTCTTTATTTACAGCCCTGGGCCAGCACTATGGCCAAAGCCAGCAGGAATGGTTTTGCTCAATGGAGACATGACAGGGAAAAGTTTGGCTGCTTATTTACCCATGCAACAAGGCCTTCTGCAGCCCCTGAGCTGAACTGATTTGCACCCTCAGAACTCCATTACAATTGGTTCATCACCACGCATCCAACCGCATCAGCATTAAGCTGTCAAGGGTCAATGAAGAGACCAAGTGAACATGCTGTGATGGGCATGGCAGAGCTGCCAGCCCAGCTGTGTTGGATTCAAATTCTGGGAGAAGAGAGGAGTCAGTGATGAAATCAAAGCTTTTCTCTCTGGGGATCTGAGCAATCAAGTGAATGAAAGAGTTTCTCTGCCCATTCTGGCTTTTGGATCAGGCCCTTGTTTAGGTGCTTAGTGCAGGAATTTGGCTGGGTAGCTTGGCCTCCTCTACTCTGAATGTGATTTTCATCCAACTCATCAATAAAATGGAGTTCAAGGACCTCACTGCAGCCCCAAATGACTGCCCAAACCGTATTGCCCAAAGCAATGCTGGGTAAATGTCCCAGTGCTCAGAGCTGTTGCTGCTTGTCACCAAGCACGAGCCTGACCAGTGGGACGGGAGCAACTTCAATGAATGCAAGTGAATTATCTTAGTGAAAAAGGTGATTAAGAGTCATTCCTGGATACTCTGTGCTTTTCAGATGTGTCTGAAGATAATGAGTTTGGATCCCAAAATGCTTTACAGAAATGACACCAAATTCTCACCCCTCTTGCATCCCTCAGTTCACAACCGTGACTCCTGATTTCCACAAGCTGGAAACTGGAATTTGACTTCAGAAGAATTCCTTTACTTTCAGCCTACAACTGTTTACTCCCTTTTTACATCAGTGAGAGATCAAATCCAATCCTGTTAATTAGTCACTCAAGGTTTCAGTGAATGAACTCTTAAACAATTATTATTAACCATGGAGCAATTAGAATATAAAAATTAAAAGACCTTCTCAAGGTCTAGAGGTGCAAGGTGCAATGCTAACATTAGGCTGTAGATATTTCTATCCAGCTGAGACCTGTATGGCTCTGTGTCCCTCTGATAAGCAGTGTGAAATATAACCATGTTTAGGGCTTGAAAAAGAGCAGTAAAGGAATTCTAGGCTGTGACTGAATTCTAGGGCATTAATTTGAAATTATTTTTTAAAAACAGGACTATATGCAGCAGCATCATTGCTGCAGTTTTGGAATGAAAAAGGGATTCCAAACAAGCTCAGAAGATGAAACATCTGATGTTTATTTTTTTTGTTGGGTTGGATGGTGGTGGGGTTTATTTTTGGCTGATCAATGGGCAGTTGCCAGTTGGTTTATAGAAAGGAAAATGAAGTTACAAAGAAAGCAGAGGAGTGGACACTGCTTGGCTCCATTGCAGAGATTGAAGGGTTTCTTTTTGATCACCATCTCCATTCCTTCTTCCATCAGCATGGTGTTTAAATAAGGCAAAAAACCCCATAGGATTTTTGAAGGAATCATATACTGTTGGACTAGAAAGGGGTCTCTGAGACCTGGCAGTGCCAACATGTGTCATTATGAAGTGCATTTCATTCTGTCTACACAGGTTCGTGGTAGCACTTGGTTTGGTTAAAGGTCATTGGGAACACGTGGTAGAAAAGCACAGAGCCCGACAGCAGCCCATCTTCCCTGCAAGGTGAAGGGTCTGAGCTCTCTGACTGTGTAAAACACCTCCCTCTGCTGTGCCATCCTCTCTGCCTTCAAGTAGCTCATTGGGCTGAAGAAGATGTTGGACTGGGCACAGCTGTCTCTGCACCAATGGTGAAAGTGCTGAATTCTTGGCGATAAAGACTGCAGTCCAGGGCTCCATGACTCTCCAGGCAGCTTTGCACTTTTCACACACCAGTATTTATGCTGGATGGGACTGTGATGCTTCTCAATTGTAGATGACCCTAGAGGAGCAGGAGACCAACCCTTGGCCTCGTGTGCATTCATATCAATCATCTGGAGTGACTCTGGTGGGATTGTAACTAGCTGGTGTTACAGGGAGTAGAACTAAATCCCAGTCTGGTACTTGGAGTCAGACATCCCAAAATCCAGAGCTGCATAGAATTCAATGTTTTTTTTCAGTCAATGAGCTTTTACCCTCTTCCCAAAGCCAGGATTTATACGCTGGTGTGACGAAATACAGTTACAACTGATCTTTTTATTTCCCCCAGATATCTATAAAGTTACAAACCATGGCTTTCCTGGGCCAACAGACCACTTCTTCCACCTCCTTTTCTCTGGAAGTCCTCAGACTTTGCTCCCTTGCACGGTGTTGCATTGTGTTGAGAAGCCCTGGGTTCAAAACCCTACTTCTTTCCCTACTTCTACTTCAAAACCCTACTTCAAAACCCTACTTCTTTGCACACTGCTGCAGAATCACAGGGATAAGATAGTCATTGGGACTGGAAACTGTGTAGCAGGTCTCTATGGGAAATTAATGCCCACAGTGCTCTGAAGGCCAGGCCTTTAGGACACAAAAATTGACATCAGTAGAGCACTTGGCGGTTTATACCCCAGTTTTGTGGATGCTGTAAACTTGTACATAGAGGAAATCTGAAGAGCACATTCAAAAAGCAAAAAGTCACACATTCTTTTATACTCTGTGGATAATAAATCAAGCTTAAAAACAAAAACAAAAACTTTTGAATTCAAGAGTGCATTTTTCATATTCTGTTTCAAACACAGCACAGGCTGTCCTTGTTCAGTAGCTGGTGCCAACCAACTCTTTGGTGACTCTGAAAACTCATTCAGACTTTTAGCCCCCCTGTTCTGCCCTCCTGTAAATACGCTTTGA